AGATTTGGACCCTTATACCTAACCCTAACCTTGGTCTAAAATTGCTCCCTATCTCTAAATTTGATAAAAGAAATAGGAGGTGGTGGTATCGCCACCGGCGATAAATGCTAAAATTCTAAAAAAAAAATTCATCAAATTTGCTTTGATGTATCTTCGTTCATAGTTTCGAAGTCACCGTGTCGGTATATTTCCCCTTTTGTGATTGTCATGATCAGACCCCCATGCTATGCAATTATTGCTAAAAATATTTGTTAAAACACTATTAATTACTACCTCTCTAAAAAAAAATAACAAATGTTAGCACCCTAACTAGTTGCAGCTATAGTTGGGTTTTTCAAGAATCAACTTGATCTAAATTTCTTATCGGTTTAGCACGTGATATCAAAATCGATCGATCATATGCATTGGTGAAAAAAAAAATTTTTGATTACCAGTATATTCTTTATCCAATGCTATAGTGGTTAACGACCACTATACGGAAAAATGGTTTCATTCACCCATGTATCTCGGTCTTTCTCAGGATTTAGTCTTTTATTAAAGTTTCAGAGGCTTCATCTTTCTCCAGAAGTTTCACCTTTCGTCAGAAGTCTCGCATTTCGTCAGAGTTTTCATTTTTCTTCAGGTGTTTCACATTTCACCAGGGGTTTCGTCTTTCGTCGGCGTTTCGTATTTCGTCTTTCACCGAGTTTAAATTTAGTCTTTCGCCATTTACATAAAATGGTTTCACCTAACGACTATAGTTCCGAAACTATTAACGAAAAAGTTTTACAGTCAGAAAAACATTCTGAGCTCGTGACTAAATATCAAACTTCCATCCAAAATTATTTAATAACTTGCAATTATCAAGAAATCTTTAGAATATATCAAGATTTGATAGGCCAAGGAATAAATATTCATCCAATAATAGTGATATATGTATTTACTGCATATATTAAAGTTAATGATTTAGAAGGTGCAAAAACATTGTTAAATAAATCACGCTTAGGTAATTTTCAAATTAGCGAATTCATGAAAATTTCATTTCGCTATCTTAAAAAGCCGGAAGAAATGGAATCTGCACGTACAATATTACAAAAATATTTCGTAGAACGCGTTAATCCAAATTCTCCACAATTCAGTGTTCACGTGGCCAGATTATTTGACGCTGGAAAAATTCAACAAGCTCACCTACTTTATAATAACATCATCTGCGGAGGAATAGATCCAAATGAGCACACATATAATGCATTCCTGTCTGGTTTCTTAGCGCATGATAAATATGCTTATTCTGTTCAAGTATGGGATGATATGAAGAAAAAAGGTCATAAACCAACTTCGATAATCTATAGCACCATGATTAACGGCTTCGCACGAAAAAAAAAGTACCATGATGCTGAAGTTATATGGGAACAAATGAAACGTGAAAATATAAAACCTGATTCTATCGCTTATTGTGCAATGATAGATGCGTATTTTCGAGCAAAAGATTATCAAAAAGCTCTAAGAATATTTGAACAAATGCAGCAAGACAACATTCCAATGACTGAAATAGTATTCAATAGAATAATTAATGGTTTATTATGGAACAATAGAGTTGATGAAGCAGTATCTATATATCGGCAAATGCATGCAATGAACGTACAACCATGTATATCGACATTTAATATTCTTATTAGAGGTTTATTATATTACAAAAAATACGAAGCGTTAATTACAGATATTTTAGATGACATGAGAGTACAAAAGATTGCACCTGACGTCGTAACATTGACAACCCTCATTGAACGTTATTTTGCAAAGGGAGACATAAAAAGCGTTGGTAAAGTCATTAGTAGTTTTGCTACTTACGGAATTAAACCTAATGTAGCCACTTATGGAGCTTTGATTAGTGGTCTAATGCTCACAGGTGACTATGCGGCTGCAAAATTAGCATACGAAGAAATGCTATCAGCGAACATTCAACCAAATATACAGGTTTATGGTTGTATGCTAAATGTATTTTTTAAGCTGAATAATTTACAAAATGTTAATCAAATACACCAAAATGTTAAAAGAGATGAAATCAGACCAACAATTGCATTTTATAATATTTTAATTGGAGGTTATATAAGAGCCGGTAATTTTTTACAAGCAAAAAATTGCTATCATGAAATGAAACATTTAAAGGTTTATCCAAATCAAAGTACTTATAAAACCTTATTAAATGGATATATTAATAATAATGACTTAGAGAGTGCTACTAATATATTACAAGATATGTGGGATGTAAATTTTGAACCTACTGATCTGGATTTCAAACGTTTATGTAAGATGGTTGAGAAAAAATGGCAGAATAATCGCAGAATTAACGATTACTTTGAAAAGAAATCGAAATAAAAGACAAAAAAAAGAAGGTTGATTTATTGCCAACGTCTACCTTTTTTACATAATTTCTATCACTATATTGTTTGCATATTTAATTCACAAATCTACTCGTTTTTTAATTTGGAGAAATATGCCAATGATTTCTTTGGATCTGGTACGATGGTCGCACTACCTTTTTTCCAGTTTGCTTATGAACAAATAAACAATGTTATTAAGTGAACTTCACGTTCCACAACAGCTGCAGCAATTAATATCAAGTACCTGGACAAACTTCACCGTAATCATTCGCAAATTGAATAGCTTGCACTAAGCGAAGAATCTCATCCACTGAACGGCCTAATAAATTGATTAAATTTGTTAAATAAGTGATTTGAATATATGTAAACCTTTTAACTTCATTTTTGTCCCTTACCAATTTCGGTATCATTAATATGAATTACGCGGACAGTCCCCTATAATATAACGTGGTTATTAAACGAATAATACATCTAGCAATTAAAGTTGCAACTTTTGTTACCTTGTCATCGATTATAACAGTTCCTCTACGCATTACACGATTTAACGTACGGAGTCAAGTATAAAAGATAAGCAAAATCAAAACAGAAAAATCGATATACCTGAAAGGAATCCCCTTCTCTTCATACAAGACACCATAATCTTCACTTATTTTCTTCGAATAGTCGGCAACTTAATATTTCCATTCATGAAAGTTAACAACTACCAATATCAATATCAAGCGATGATCACGTGATCAACTTACTCAGAGGAATCCTTTAATTAAAAAAATTAAACTCATTTTAACAAAGAATGTCATAAAAAGAATTATAAATATAATTATATATAACATACTTGATACCGCCAATGCCACCTTGGTTTCGTGGCATTTTGCTGAAAATAATTTTGAAATTTATTATACAAGTCAATAAATAAGACGTGTTAAAATAAACACAAACCTCCAAGCAAGGTGAGAAAATTGTGAATCGCAAGAAATTGCAACTACTTCGGCTCCAAGATCTTTGAATTCTTGAATACGATCACTAATCATGTCAAATTAAACCAAAAAAAAAAAAAAAACATTAAACAGTTAATTGGTCTAACTTATGATAGAATTAATGTTAAACTCACGAAAAAGCGTTCAATTCGGTTGGGCATACTAAAATTAATTAATAAATATATATATTTTAGCCTTGTTATTTTCAAATAATAAGTCAGAATATAACATTAATAGAAACACTTAACTTACCGAATGTAAAATCAAATGGATAAAATAGCATTATCAAGAATTTATCTTCAAAGTCATTAAGCGACATAGTTTTAATTTCGTCTTCAACAACAGCGTTTGCTTCCCAAAATGGTGCCGGACGCTATATATTTAATTAATGTAAACAAGATATCATTAATTATCATTTCTCGTAAACACGTGAAAATGATAAATGGAACGTAAAGTTTACAGTAATTTTAGCAGCAAACTCGTCAGCGAATTTTTTTTTCAATAAACTTTTTTTCCTTTGATACTCTAAAAGTTTTTGATGATCCTCTTGTTGATAAAGTGGTTTAGCATAACTAAAAGTTCTTGTTGCGAATAATGTAGGACGAAAAATACGTGTTGTAATGGTTCGTGAGATCGTTCTCAAAGAGGGTCTTAAAGCATACATAATGGTATGTGTTAAAGAATTTAATCAATAACGATAGGACAGAAAATTAGTAATAATGTAATTTATAGATTTATATACTGTATATCGGCATCGATCGCGATACGATTCAAAATTGGAAGGTACTACCATAAAAGTTGAAAGTTTAAAATTTTATCATCACGGGACTGCAGATAATCGAAAATTTCAATTATATTGATCAAAGTAATAATTCTTTTACAAAGTTGATATTCGATTGATTGGAACATTTAAAAACTTGTTGCTAGAATTAGTAGAAGAGAGTTATACAGAAGGTACGTTGATTTAAATTACTTACGAATTTTTGATACAAATTTCAATGTATTTTATTTCTTGTCGATATTTTGTTAGGCTTCCTTGAATTAGCTTTGTAGACTTAATGAATCTGGTAGCAAACCATATAAGGTGCAAGTAATGTTATAGCGTTTGTTGGTTTACAATTTGTAATTTTATCATTTATAGTTCAACTTTTCTTATTTTGAATAGTTGGCATACCATTATTACCGCAAAAGTTGGAAAATATGTTTAGTATGTGCTGATACTTTTCGTGCTACAAAGAGCAAAAATTCCGGTTCGTTGGTCAGATACTTCATTTCAGAGTCTTATTGTTATTATTATTATGTTTTCTGCTTATACTAGCTATATTGAAACTGACCCTGCTAAATTTCAGCATCAACTGCGACGTTTATAAATTCATATCCTTTCCGATACTTCCTCGTGGTGAACCTTTAATTCGGATCATTTAATTGCCTTTTCCCTGATTTCCCCTTTCTCTTACTAGAAAAACATGCGATTTTGTCGCGTTTTGACTTTCTCGTATAATAGGTCGTGCAAGTTTAGATCAATTTGAACCTAATGTAATCTAAATTTAATCTGCCATAACCAGCACAAAACATTTTAGTTGTTTGGTGGTAGGCAAAAGGTGTGAAGTCGACGATAATCAACTTTTTACAAATGTTAAATGAATTTAAAGTGATTCTCATTCTATATCATCATTTTTAACCGTTCAAAAAATAATGTAACTTTTTAATATAATTGTATTTGATATATTTTATAATAGGAATCTATGAATGGTTAAAATATAGTAATAATGCTATATAATATTTGTTATAATAACAATTGTCAAATTTATGAAATTTAATCATTTTTGATTTATTCATTCGCTTGAGAATTTTATGATAAAACCCTTTTCAGAAGATGTTTTAGTATATCTAAATTCTAAAGCTAAGAAGTTTGATCCGCGCATACTAATAATCTTACAAATATGTCAGACTGATTTCCCAATGCATTATAATAAAATAACCTTCAACAATATTGATTTTTTAAGATTTTACATTTATATGTTCACGTCACCTTAGGGTGATCATCAAACTTTAGTCAATTTATCGGGGAGATTCAGAGAGCGAAATACTTAACAAAAAAATTACTTTGGAAACATCGAACTATAAAAATCCGTTAAAATATACTGTACTTTATCGTTATAAAATTTAAATTTTATCTTACATACCTCATGACCTGGTCGAGTTATGAGAAACAAAAAAATTTTTGAGTGGTCTATCTGGTGCAAAATTATTTGATGGAGCTAAAAAAAAAATTTGTTTGAATGCCAAGTTTCTGATTCTGGCCAATCAGAATGCAATTTCACCTAAGAAATCAAATCAAACAATGTCACGTGCAAACTAGTAAATGCCTAAATGCGAACCCTAATCCTAACTTTATTATAGATTAGTATTATAAGGCCTTTTTAGAATCCTATCAAGAACGGTATGTAAATCGATTTTTTTTCCTGTCCCATCGGGAACAGTACCGAAATGGTGTTTTTATGTAAAAGTTTGGTATTTTAAAATTTTTATATATGTAGTAACTGTATGTATAAAATCTAAAAAAACTTCTTTGCCTCCTGCCGATTTTTCTAATCTTTCTAGATATACAGGATATAACGTAGTAAATAAATATCATATGATTTACATTATACAGTTTGATTGGTTGATGATGATCAGTGTGTAACGTAATAATCAAAACAATATAAATTGAACGTTTATCATAATCAAAACTAATGGAAACGGGAACACCACCACAACAACTAATGGAAACGGGAACACCACTACAACAACAATAGCAGCACAAACAACAGGAGAAGTTCAAGGTCAACAACAAGAAGGTCTCACTACAATAACAATAACAACGAGAGAAACAACGGGAGATCAAGAAGATCCCACTATAACAACAATAACAGCACAAACAACGGGAGAACCACTACAACAACAATAACATCACAAACAACGGGAGAACCACTACAACAACAATAACAGCACAAACAACGGGAAAAGATCAAGAAGGTCAACAACGTCCAAAATTTATCTTAGCGATTGGGTGCGTATGTTTCACGGTTTATTTTCGCGCTTAGTTCGTCTTGTATTCCTTTATGATATCCGGGTTTTTTCTCCCCCCAGGAAGGCTACTGATTCTGCATGAGGAAACGGTTATCTCCATCTTTTGGGTAAAAACTCGTGAAGAAGAGGATATGAGAGTTCTATAGTGAAAAGCTTCGTAGAAAGAATTATATAAGAAGTTCTTCTAGGAAGAACAACCGGCTTTTGCACGGGAGAGGCAAAAGAAAAAGGTTGGGGTATGATTCGGGGGTGCTATCGACGCCTCTATTGTTTTTTTTTTTTTTTTTTTAGGTTCGATTTGATGTTTTTGTTATACTTTAACGTTGAGTACCACCCCCCCTGATTACCTTCCCAACCGATAAGATACACCTCTACGTGGTGGTTGGGACGAGTAGGAGAGATAATCTCCGAAACTAAGTATCTTACAGTTTTTAGTTATATTTAATTTATCTAAAAAAAATATGTAATAATAAAATTGTTTAAGTTGTTTAATAAAATTGTTTAATAAAGTTAATAAAATTGTTTAATAAAGTTAATAAAGTTGTTTAATAAAGTTTAATTAAATAATTTATGCTTAAACTCTAAAGTTATCCGAATTGTAAAAAATTGATATTGTTAAATGGAACCAAATAACAAATCGTTTAGCATTTAAGATTTTATTATAATGTATTGAAACATCGATCTAACATATTTGCAAGATTAGTATGTGCTATAATATAACGCAAAAATCCACGTATACGTCAGTCGCTTTAGAATTTAGAGATTCTAAAGTCCTTCTATCATAAAATTCTTAAGCAAACAAATAGATTATTTAAACATGCTTTCTTGTTCAAAAATGATTAAACTTTATAAGTTCGACAAATATTAATGTACAACAAACATTTATATAGCATCTTTACTATTCATATATTTCTGCTATAAAATAATTTATTAAATATATGGAAATAAAAAATATATATTGTTTAAATATTAATATTACTTTAAATAGTTAAAACGATAATATAGAATAAGTATTGGGAATTTACAGATAAGGGCCCAAAGGTAAAAATAATTACAAATAAGGGTTCCAAATGAAATAATTACAGATAGAGGCCTGATATTTGAAAATTATTACAAATAAGGGCCCAAAATAATTATACGTTTAAGAACCTATGATTTAAGTCCCGTTTCGATGATTTGAATATGATTGTTAACGCATAAGAAATGTAATAATAATCAATGAGTAATTCGAATAGAAATTAAAATAAACTGTTTGCTATTTGTATTGCAAATAAAGCCACTTCATGCTCTTTTACTATTTCAGCTAACAAGCACAAAGATGGCTACATTCATATAGTAAGACTGATCCAACTTATGGAAGCATTCAAAACACGTGGATCATACTTTGTAAAGTTTACTGCGTCATTAGTAGTATTTCGATCTCGTGACATTATAAATCGTGTTCGTTCTGAAGTGGAGGCCGAAACATCATACATGATAGCTTGGAGAATTAAGGCTATTAGGGCACACACAAAGTTAATTTTTTGTTTTGCATTAAATGGATTTCAAAATCTGGTTGGTCGGATTTTTTTTTTTTTTTGAATAACCTATTTAATCACAAAATAAGATGATATCGTTACGTTTAAATCAGCTAGTTTTGACGGTATATTTGAGCCTTTATTTGTAATAATTTTCAAATATCGGATCTTTATCTGTAGTTATTTTTATTTTGGGTCCTTATTTGTAATTATTTCGTTTTTGGCCCTTATCTGTAAATTCACCTAAAAATAATTATAGCTGTGATTAAATTAATACTGAAAGAAGTTTTTACCATGAAATCTCGATGACTTTAAACCTAAAACTATAATCTTGTCGCAGGCAAAATTCTGACAAACCAAAATTTTATTAAAAAAGGATCCTGTATATTATACTATGAATCTAAACCCCCGAAACAAAAACGATAAATACAAAAATAAGTGTTTAAAT